AGGCCCGAGCATTCACGGTTCCACGTGGAAAGACATGGAAGTTTGTGTGTCCAACCCAAAGATATACCACCCCAAACACAGACACTGCCTTCTCCGTATGCATCTCTTTTACAGATGCTTGATGGATAATTACAGACTCCAGGTTCTCTCCAAATCAAATAACACTTGCTATCGCTTTCGAGGCTGAACCTGGACTCATCTACAAGAAGAACAGCCCTTCATTGATCAGCCGTCCACTGGACATGTTGACGTGCCCACCTGAAATGTTCCGTTCTACGACGTAGCTTGAAAGCATGAAGCAAGCAAATAGCTAGTCGCTTCGCGTACAGACCTCCTTCGTGAGATCTTCTACGCGCGGTTGACGTCGACACCGACCTTTCGGTGGCTACAACAAGGGAGGATCTGAGAGCCGGAGTTCTGGTTCTATTTTCGTGAGCGTAACAACAAATATTTGTCATCAGCACTCGTTATAGCAGTTGACCAGCCTTGGCTGAACCTCCTGGATTCTGCCTCCAGCCTTGACGCAATCAAAGGTTACAAAAGCAGAAGCCAGTCCAAGAACTTAGAAAAATCCTCCTCAGTCTTCTATCATCAGAAAGGCCATGCCTCACGTGGGTTCTGGCTCACGTGGGCATTAAAGGCAAAGAGGAAGCAGACACCCTGGCAAAAGAAGCGGCAAAGGAGGTCTCAAGAACAGAACTGCCGGATAAATTACCTAGGTCACATCTTAAAAAGATCACTCTAAAACAACTGATAGACAGATGGCAAGCCAGATGGGACACAGCAGATACAGGAAGGAGAACATATATGTTCTTCCCCAAAACAACGCTAGAGTTAAATTGCAATAGTGGTAGTCAGACACAGTTTTATACAGGTCATGGCCCATTCCTGACCTATCTGCATAGATTCAGCCTGAGTGACACAGAAAGATGTCAATGTGGAGAGGTGGGGGATCCAGACCACTACGTCTTCCACTTATAACGTTGCGCGCCTCTAACTAGCACGCAACCTAGAGGTGACTGTGAAAGCTTGTATAAACCACAGAGTCTTATAAAGGGTTTAAGTCCCTTTTTATTCAACGTACTAATTTACAATTGCGTCCTCTTGACGCTTACAAACTTTGCCAACTAGGCAGTCAAAATAAAATAATAACCTGAAAAGAAAATAAAGACAAGATTCTAACTACGAGGCTCTCTAAAATAACTAACTCACCGCGTTTTACAAAAGCCGCAGCTAATTCAGCAGACTTGAAGCTCACTGGAACAATTGCAACTACTTTCCCGCCAAGCAAGCACATAGGCCGCAACGCGGGGTTCTTTAATTCTCGATTTCTACCTCCGCGCTCGCGAAGTAAGAATAACTCTCTCACCGACCTTGTTTCCTTCTATTTAAATCATACTACTTCCGCTGATAATTTGAATGCTTGCGCGTTCTACTCAAATTTACATATTCTGGCATTGGCAGTTCCAGGGGAAAGTAAGGCTTGACAGGAAAGATAGTTTAAACTTAAAATAAATGTTAGTTAAAATAAATATAAACCCTACACACTGCACAAACACAGCACAGTACCATATAAGAAAGCCAAGTCAAGCTTACTGGCCACAATGGGCGGCAAATATGAGAACAAACAAAACAGCAAATAAAAAGCTACAAGCGGTAATCAGCCATTGTCAGAGAAAGTATTCTCTAATACGACGATAAGTGTCCCCAAATAGAAATAATCAAGTGCTTAGCGCTCTGAATCATAAAATGTATAAATCACACTAAATCAATCTGATAAGTATGCGGGGCACACACCTCGGACCTCTCAACCCAAGACTAACTTAGATAATTAGGACTATGGCAACAACCTGCCTATATTCTTTAAAATGTTTACTTTTGCAATTAATATACAGGTTTAGGACTCGCAAGACCAGATTGAGCCAGTAAAATCTTCAACAGCAATGAGTTTTTCCTACACTTACTAATCTTGTATTTAAATTGCAAGTTTGTGATAAATAGGTTCAAGAAGGGCAAGGTCAACTTATGTTATCACATCAACTTAATTTTGTGAATAATATTATTATTGGTATGGCATTTTTGCCTTCTTAATTTTAATAAATATTCAACTTTTTATGTAAATTTTAGGGAAGAGATATCTGTATTTATGTGATCAATTGCATGTTTGAATCTCTTCCCTAGTGATCAGCATTACGTGCTTAATTATGTTTTTTATAAATTATGTGCATGTTCTAAGGTGATAAAAGTAACTATGGAATTAATGTAGGTAAGGTTCTCTTTGTAATTATGTATCAGCATTATGTATTCAAGTGTTTGGAATCAGATATCAGTATTACTGAGTATGGTGCTGTACTTTTCTGTTTATGTTCACTTTAAAGTACTCAAGTCTGTATTTATTCCTTCTCTGCATGTACTATGAAGGTCAATTCGTACTTGGCTAGGATTTAGACTACATAGCATTACTTAATGATCAGTTTTATGTATTATGTTTATCAGTTTTAGTTTTAGTTTTCATGTATTATGTATGCATTTTTAAGTGTTATGTATGCAGGCATTAGGGATCAGCTTTCTGTATTTTTGTACTCAGTATCATGTGAGTTTTTCACTTTAATATTCAGTTTTGTACTTATGTATGTATTATCCTGTCTGCTAGTACTACGAAAGAAAATGTAGGAGAATGGTTCAATTTGTAAAACAACTACAGTTTAAGTATGCGCAAAGAACTAAATTATGTAGGAATTTGTTATCTTAGTGATAACAGGTATACAATCTTTTAAATGTTCTTACATAAGAGTCAGGCACATAGGAAAGTAATCTGAATCTGCGTTAAATTGCGTTAATAGGTTGCACCTTTCCTCCATGCAGGACCAACGATTTTACAAAAGCCCCATAAATATATGACAGTTGTGTCAGGATTAGCACCCGCATGTAGACATTTAGCAAGTCTAGAAAATCCACGGCAGTTAATTTTTCAGGCAGAGTCCTTATGTCTTTACTTTATCTAACACAAGTTTCTGTCTAATTCTAACAGCGATTCTTAAGAGTTTTTTTGATTGCTTCTTTGCATAATTTTAAGTGCACATGTCGAAAATGTCAAGCCATTAATGCATATTTTCCTTTTTTTAAATATATTTCTTCCTTGTAGCTGGTCTAGTAGCTAGCTTTGTTTAACGTATACACTCAAAACTCCACATTCATTCGTCGATGATTATTTATCAATTAGAAAATTTTCATGTTTTCAAAATTTGACTACCAAGTAATTCTCAGAATTAATCATTCAGTTAAATTTTGTGTTCAAAGGAGAGAATGCCGTTTGATTAAGGAGTTATAGGGAAACAAGGAAAATTAATCTGCATCACCCTGATCATTTAAAAAGACGCTGCTTCTCTCTACTATATGTTAAGGATGTATATAGTCCTCAACCGTGTTGGTCGCTCACTGTTAAGAAATCTATGTTATTTTTATAAATGGACGTAACTGTAGTTGAAAAATTCACAGTAAGGAAAAAATCCGAGATTTTACTCATTTCTGTTTTAAATATACTATTCATTTGATTGTGTGCAGTTATAAGTTAAAATTCACAAAAAAGCAAATTTATTAAAATTTTATGGATATCTGGATCATCTTATATTCTCATACGTATAAAAACAAAAAATTAAAATTTCTTACTATGTTTTTAACATTTAGAAGGAAGTTAATAATAAATTTAATACTGCATAATGTTATTGTGATTGTTCGTATAGAGATAATTAGAATAACCTGTAAGAAAAACTTCTTATTTCAATTAAACTGGAAGTAAGAAATGTTGCAGATAGGTAACAGTACTATATGTTATTGCTACTTTTTTATGCATGTGAAGCCAAACAGAAAACACTCAGAGTTTTTTAAATGAAAAAATAGACACATCTCCAATTATTGAAATTTAAAGACGTCTGAGGATCTATCAAAAAGGATATTTATTTTATTAGCCAGAATATAGGACAATTATTTTTCCTTTAAAGTATCTTTATTGTAAATTATATGCACAGTGCAATGTTTAAAAATATGTTGAGATAATTTAAAACTTGAGCCTTAATTTTATTCTGAGGTATCCATTTACTTAGCTTCATCTCAAGGTATGGTTCACAAACCATTTATTTATTTTTCTTGTGCACTTCATTGAACATATTTAACTATAAATGTGAAACTGTTTTATGTGCAATTTCCATTTCTTTTGTAAAGCCATTTTCAAAATGGATAGGTCGGCTTTTATGTGAAGCCATATTCTAGCAATTAAAATATATTGAATAGCCCTCATTTAACTTTAGAGCTTATATTTTTAAAAGACATGTATTTTAAGTAGTCTATTTTAGATTATACGTTATTGCTAGTTTCGATTTCAGAAGCTGAAGCTATAGTTTATAGCCTATCCAAGGTAAAATTTCCTTCTTTTTACTTCCAACGCTGCATAGCAGAATTTCTAAATCAACAAGTATCCTTGTATGAACATTTATTTAATGCCACAGCCTCTTAAGTGTAGGATGTTATATGATTCTATAGGTATGTTAACGAAATTTTAAATTTTCTGTTTTTTATCGTCGGCGTGTTTTTTATTATATTCGGTCGTTATCGGTTAATGATTTAAAATCTAAATTTTAAGTTATATATAAAGTACAAACTTAGAATATCCAAGTTACTACAGTAGTTTAATCTTGAAAAATCGGTGCATTAACTATATAAGAAGTCCCTATTGTCTTCAGTTACAATTTGATAGTTTGTTTACAGCTATGAAATATAAATTAAAAGTTTATCTGTGGTGTTTGTGTCATCAGTTTTTCTCTTTCCAAACTTTACATATTTCACACTTGAGCTATAAAATTCTGGAAAACATTTAAAAAATTATATTAAAATAACTTTAGGAACACATTTAAGAAATTTGTACCTAAATTTGTTGAATCATTCAATCGATTTTAGGCTTTTTTAATATGTATACAGATATGTGAAATAGAGCAAACCATATATTAAAAAAAAAAGTAGTTGTGACTTTTATTTTCTGTACAAGCATATCAGAGTTTGATGTAAATGTCTAAGTATTGATGCAATTACTTCTTAAAAGCAAAATAGTCCCCAGTTGGATCTTCTAACCATGGATAGTTCTGAGGGCATTCAATACAAGTGTGCAGACGAATTGTTTCTCCTGGCAATTCCCGAGTTGTGAGTGGGCATGCGTTTGGCAAAGAACAAAGTGGCTGCCCTTTCACTTCACACTTTTCTTTCCAGGGTGCGAAATCTCTGATAGAAGATAACTCAGTTGGTGACTGCATCCATTGCAGAACTTGCGTCATGGTGACGAAGTAGATATCGTTCTTGTCTAACATCTCATCGACCCACTGTATGAGAGCGTCATTAAATTCCTGGTTCAATTTAAGCCATCCAGCGTGGAAAAACAGACCAAGGGGGGCTCTGTTTGTACGATAATGCCTTTCCAAATTGTGATTTAGGAAATTATAGAACTGTTCACCGGTTAAAAGATTGCTGCAGCTGTCTACCATGGCGCAGCCTGCGAGTTCCTCATCAAAATTTGGGTCATCTCTTCGATCCAGCTCATTCATAACCATTTCCCAAACTGCATGAGATCTAGTGGGACAATTCTGGCCGTTACCATGACATTTGTGGGGCATCCGGAAATACAGAGTGTAAGGCCAAAGAGGAGGATTACTTAAAGGAGCTGTAATTGTAGAATCGTAAAGGAAGGCTTGTTCTTCCATCATAAAAAACTGGTTGTTTCCTCCAACTCGTAAGTAAGGAGCTCTGATACCTACAACTGAGTTATCAGTGATGTTTGAAAATCTTTCGATGATTAAACGTACTCCAGCCATTTCCTTGGCCCAAGCTTCAACATTCGCTTCGCTCCAGTATTTCTCATCGTTTCTGTGCCTGTGGAAAAGAAAATACACAAATTTCAGACATGCAATTTAAAAAACAATGCATTCATAAAATAAAATTATCAAATTTTTATTCCGAAATAGTTTTAATCTTAGTTTTACATTGACTTTCTTGAATATATTCCATAAGGAAGAGTATATCTTTCTCGAGAGGAAGGAATACTTACAGTTGGTTATGTGTCAAAAGAAACCTCCTTTCACAACATTGAAAAACGAGCATATGTGGAAACAGTAAATTTGCATTGAGCTGAAGAAAAACTGAAATAACCCTTTGATTCCATTTCTTAAACCCTCCAGTTTGAAAGCGCGAACGAGCTTTACTTCGTGTTTCATCATCTCGAATTGAAGCAGTTTGAACAACAGGCTTTCATGTTTGCAAAATGGTTGAAGGCCAGCGTGAAAAAAGTACAGCGCATTATAGTCATTCTCACTTTATGCTCATGATTAATATTTATGTCTACAACAGTGCTTTCTAAAAAATAAAAACGGTCCAAGCAAATTTTCAATTTTCATTAAAGCAACTAAGTAATCTACTTTTAACTATCATTTTATATTTGCAAAAGTCACCTTGTCAAATTATTTCTTGAAATAAAGTTAACTTTAAAGTAGTTTACTTCAACACTTTGACTGCTAAACACATATCAGCTGTTCTTAAGTGTAATTAAACACCGTGATGTTAACTTTGGGGTTGACTGCTCGAAAGAATAACGGCATATAGTAATACGTTATAGAATACTCCACAGTCTTATGTTATAGAATCATGCGGGTATTCATGTTGTAGAATACTCCCCAGTCTCATGGTATAGAATCATGCGTATCCATGTTATAGAATACGCTACACGTATATGAATAACATGACGTTGCAGCGTATTCATGTTTTAGAATACGGCTGTATTATAAAATCTATAATACTTACGTTATTGAATGAGCTGCAATCTCATGCCCTTTTCTGTGAAGCTCTTGCACTGCTGAATAATTTGTATATTTGTGGGAGACGAAGAAGGTTCCTTTAATAGTACATCCGTTTGGGTTATTTCGACCTTCACGGAAGATTCGCTCGTAGATGTCAATGTTATTGTTGTTCACAGCATCATCGAAAGTAATGGTAATCATCTGGGGAACAGAATTTGCTTCCAATTTTCCGGGGATTTGTGTTCCGTCAGGTGAGCAGAAACAATCTGGTAGAACACACTGGTTTTGATCACAAGGAGGAGCACGATTAGGATCCTTGTCCACGGCTGCATTATAGAAATACCATGAGTTAAATAACTTGCTACAGCTGAATCAGAGGATATTAGAAAGTAAAGCTAAGAAAGAATACCTACTGCAAGCATTTTCATCGGAGCCATCGGGGCAGTCAGGAGCACCGTTACAGAACAATTCCTTCTGTATGCATTCTCCATTTCCGCACGCTAATTTGCCTTTCTCGCAGATTGGTTCATCTGTTGCCAGAAGAGGAGTAGCCAATCTTGGCTCTGAAAAAAAAATTAATAAATGTTAAATTAGGATAAGCGAAAGAACTATTTTGCCATATCACTGCAATAAAATGTCATGGTTGGTTTCAGTGGTATTAGCAATAATAAAAATACCTTGTGATGTTGGGAGGCCCCAACTTGTCAGCAATAGTAGTAGTGACTGCTGTGAACTGGAAATTACGCAGACTCTTAAGAAGGGTTTAACTCCCTTTTTATTTCACTTTAGAAATCACAGTTGCGTTCACTTGACGCTCACAAACTACGCCGACCCGGCGGTTAAACAAAAATAGAAAAGTACAACTAAAAACAAATGACAGGATGCATAACTAACGAAGTCACTATCTACGAGGCTCTGTAATTGTAACTATCTTAACCGCGTTCTAAGATACAGCTGAGATTCAGCAAACTTTCTGATTAAGAATTTGAAAGATTCAACGAACTGTCGAAATAGGCACACAGGCCGAAACGCACGGTTCTTAAACTTTCTACCAAGCAACCTTCACGCTCGTGATTCAAGAAGCACACTTACAAACTCGCTTCCCTTCTATTTAAACTCAATTACTTCTGCTAAAATTTGAATAATCTGCGCGTTCTACTAAAATTTACATACTGGACTACTAAACATAAAGGCATTGGCAATTCCAAGGGAAAGTAAAGGCTTGACAGGAAAGATAGCTTAAACTTAAAATAAATGTTAGTTAAAATAAATATAAACCCTACAACCTTAAATTTAAATTTTCTATTTATGGTTTACTTATGGTTCCCTTTTGTCTGTTTCGTTAAAAATTAAAATTACCATTTGTATACAAATGCTTATAAGCTTTGTAACATGCTTTTGAAAGACGAAGAGCAGAACTCGGATTACTTTTTTTTACAAGGTATACACATTTATTTAGTTAAATTTTTGTTACATTCTTTCTATATAGAGTTAAATTTTACAAGGTTTATAATTAATCATTTATTTTCAAGCAATAATAAGCTTTCTATATTTAAGCTAAATTTAAAGTTGATTTGAATTCAGATATTTTACATGTTGTAATCATATTTCTCTAATACTCATAATGAATCAAATTTAACTCTCTCATTAAGAAATGCTTGGGCTATTTTCACGATTATTACCTGCTTAACGTGTGTATATATTTTTTAATTTATTCATGTGCCAAGTACAAAATATATGAATCTTCTTTTGCAGTCATATCGGTCAACGTATGGTAAACTCACATTGAGAGGTAATAACACAAAAATCAATAGTACAGAGCTGCGTCAAGTATTAATAATAAAATCGCTAAAATTTAAATGTTTTCTCTAAAATCTTAGTATACAATCAACTTAATAAGTAAAATAATTGCATAAATGAGAAAAATAAAGAGAAACTAGACGTGATCTAAATTATGAAGATAGGAATATGTAAACTGAGTGCTCACTTTCAAGTTGTTGACAGTTTTTCACGTTAGCTTTCCAGTTGCAAGTCTGACTCTCGATGTCAAATGCTAAACCAGATGGACAACGTAGGGCTAGCAAGCCCTGCACTGAACAGCGGACTACATCTCGACAGTCTTCATCAGCTGTTAAACGGAAGTATTCGCTTGGAGAGCGACCTTTGCACAGTTCAGCGTCATTCTGTGTGTCTGCAGCTACTTGTCTTTTAACCACTGATGCACACAAACCTACAGAATAAGTAATGTAATTTAATTCATTTCTATAACAACCTTACAATAAACTACACAATACATACTATATAAATACGCAAATTCGATAAAAAGTGCAATTCCTTTTCTAGGCATTTTTTTCTACATATTCTGATCTCTGTAAAAGCTTTAAAAGGAAAAAACTGGCAATTTTAGAAAGCAATTTCCTCTATATGTTTAGAGTGCAAAAAAAATCTTACTTTTAATTTCCTTTTTACAGCGTGTAATATTAGTAGCAATAAAAAAATTCTCGAATTCCATATTCCTTGTCAATGACACACTGCATGCAATAAAGAATGCATGGAGCTCTAAGAAATAATTGGATTATTCATATTAAGGCAAATAACAGGAGGGTTTTATGAGGGAATTAATTCCCCAGGATTTGAACACTTGTTAATCCACTAGTTCTGAGATTATATCGCTCGGTCCCTGATGCGCCAATATTTTAAAAGAGAAAACACCAGTTAAAAATAATTTGAACAATAAAGCGATTTCCCACGAAAATTAGTTTTACAAACATTTGAACCACTAGTACAATTAATAAAAAAAATTCTACTGCTACCTATTTTTCATCTCGGCTACAGAACTCCTTTCTTATTATTGTCTACATAAAAAACTGAACATACGATAACTGTAAAATTATGTTATGACACATTCTCCCTTTTCAAAATTTCATTTAAATGTTAAATACTTATTCTTAATTGATAACTGTGAGTATATTTTTCCTTTAAAAGAGATATTAATAATATATATTATTATATAGTATTTGTATGATATAATAAATATTTGTATGATTTCCTGTTTTTTGCATTTCATCAATTTTCGGATAATAGAATTCGTAATCGTTGTGGTCACATATCAGATATATATATGATAGACTATTTCTCATTATTAAAATGATGATTTCAGTTTTTCAATGTAATGAGCTTCCATGTTTCGAGTTACCAGGTGAAATCTCCTTTCAGGTATTAAGCTAGAATTTAAAAGATAAGGCTATATGTATATATATAACGTTTAACTGAATATTTTTATGTAACAATAACTCTCCTAATAAGAAGTCTTGGATCATTTAATAACATAAAGTATGAAATAAAAGACAATTTCATTAGCTTCAGGTTCCGAAATTTCATATTTTTGTAAAATTTTCATCCGGAAATGAAATAGTTTTCCATCCCACTGGCAAAAGGTCTAAAAATCAAGGTGATTTTTTGCATTTCTCATAATTTCGAATGAGGCGTTGACTGAATTTTTTCATTATAATTCGGTTTACTAGAATCTTCAAAGTATTCATCATTAACTTTTGAAGTGTGCTGGTTTTGGTACGTTGATTACTGAAGCTCTGTAAAATAGAGTGTAAGGATTATGTTAATTTTATTAAAAGTTTAATTTTGAGTTAAAGTTCCTTTCCTATGGCTTCTCAATTTCAACTTACCACTTCCGGTCAGAAAGTAGTTTTAGAATAACATTTGAATGCAAATGAGGAAGAGTGGTATTTAACCTCGAAGTTCTACTGTCTTAGTGAGAGAGAACCAGAGTTTCTGGCTAGCATGCTTCGTTTTTTTTAGGCTACTTTCTCTTAAGGTATTATCACGCTCGGCCGTACTTTAGGCCCTTGATAGCTTCGCAGTCAATTAACGTTAAGTCAATTAACCAATTAACATAACCGTTAGAATCTTGATAGCTTCGGCTATATCTTTTTAGTTAAGCTTAGTTAAGTTTTAATTCTTAGTTTCCTAAGTTGAAGCCCGAGTGTCGGCTTTATTGTACAACTCCAAGGCGGAGTTCTGTTAAACTTTAGTTGGAATAATAAAGGGTTATTTCCCCCTTCTCACTTGTTGTTTTCTACCTCACGAACTCAAGCGATTATTCGCTTACTAGTTCTTAAGATTCTTCACATATGCGGTTGAATTTCAGCTATCGGAAAAAAAAAATAAAACTTGATAAATTTTGGCTAATAGGTATCATAAGCAGAAATTTTTAAATTAGGCGTCTTTTGTAAACAGGTGATTTCAGATAATTTAACTTCTAACTTTTCTATTATCATTTTACATTCTGATATCAAAAATTTTCTGAATCTCATATATTAGAAACTTTAATAATTTTTAATAAACAAACGTTTGCATTGAAAAGTCAATATATACTAAATAAATCAGTTAGATGTTATAGAGGGCAATCGCATAGTTAAAGATATCTTGAGTGGATGACCGTAGACTCAAGGTCCCCATTTAAGAGATGGCTCTAACAAAATGGGCTTTCAAAACTGTTATAAGATCATTTAGCAAAAAAAAAAAAAAAAAAAAAAAAAAAAAAAAATCACTTGATAATTTCTTGTGTTTTTTACAAGTTAATATCTCTGGAAATGAAGTTCCAACTAAGAAATCGCGCCTTATTATATTTAAGATCAATATCTAAAGTATCGGATACTGCAATGTTTGAACGTTAACCTTCAATCTAGAAAAAAGTTCCAAAATCATGCAAAAAGTCGATTTTAGGTGCAGCATAAACGTATGTGCGATTTTATATTATAAAAATGTCGATTCTATGTCGTAAAAATTTTAAGAAATTTAACAGATGGAAATCTGAAATCCTTACTTACAATATTCCTCTTTCTAGGCTTAAAAGCCTAGAAAGGCATTTTTTAGGCATTTAAAAGGCATTTCTTAGAAATCTAGGCTCAAAATCTTAAATGCAAAACTGCCCGTGGCTATGTTTTTTTTGTGTTTCTTAAAATTTCGATGGACTGACAAATGACATCTCGGATAATTTTGATTCCAGGTGCACATTAAGTTGGCTATGATACACATTTTTGTCACTAATACATTTTTGCGTTTCATCTACGACAAACCTTCCAAGATATATTTAGTAAGGCATTTTGAAAACATTCTGTGTAAGGAAGAGCTTAATAGTTTTTTTTTTTTAATAAAAATCTTGAATGAAAATTATTAGTCACATAGAACACAGTCACATAGAACATTAGTCACATAGAAATTTTTATAAGTATATAAAAAAGTCTTCGCCTGAATTATTAGTTAAAACTTTTTCGAATCATTCTCATTAATCAGCTAAATATGGAGTGTTTAATTTTATGCAAATTCTTTGCATATAACGCGATAGTGTTCAATAAATAATAATAACTATGGAGTCAATGAATATTCAAGCAACTGTGAGGCAAAAAAGCCTAAGACTTAATTAAGATTTTGAAAAGAATAAAAGTTTAAAATTTGTAAATTTCATCTTTTATTTCCCTGGATATACAATTTTGTTTTTGTCCTCTTTTTACTTGTTAAGTTTTAATAAAATGCATTTCAGCTGAAATTAGTAACCCGGTGATAAAAATACATATTAATGAAACTGTTGGTGCCAATAATGAATTTTAATTACATACATATAATGATATGTAAAAGAACAAAATCAAAGTTTCGGTATATAAGTATTAAGCAAATTTGCAATCATAAACCTTGGTATCATTAGAACATACATTATTTCCTACTTTATAAAAATGTATATAAAAATTTGAAGACCAAAAGTAATGCAGATTTAAAAAAAGTTAAAAAGTTGTCATAGCAATGACTCGGAAAATTTACGGAGGAAAGCTGAGAGCAAACCAAGATTTCAAATAATTAATAAAAGTAGACCATTTATTGCAGAATTCCAAGAGTATTAGTATTTCCAAGAGTACAAGGCTGCAAAGCACAATAGGTTGAAGCTCCCCCCCCCAGTGCTAAATTATTTAGATACTATTAGGATTCCGGCACCAAACAGAGATGAAAAGTCAACTATATCCTCACCGGAATTCAAGTCAGACATCTTACAATTGCCAGCGGATTAGGCTGACCGCATACACAGCGATATACTCACGGGAGGAATACTATAATTCTTCACGTTCTCGTCCACTCAAAAAGCAACTGTGGAGAGGAAGGAAACCCATTCGACCAAGTACAAGTGGGGAGAAGTTATCTTTTTTTAGTTTAATTGAGAAATTACTAGTTCAATTACGAAATTATAATTTAATTGAGAAATTACTAGTTCAATTGCGAAATTACTAGTTCAGTTGCGAAATTATAATTTAATTGAGAAATTACTAGTTCAATTGCGAAATTATAATTTAATTGAGAAATTACTAGTTCAGTTGCGAAATTATAATTTAATTGAGAAATTACTAGTTCAATTGCGAAATTATAATTTAATTGAGAAATTACTAGTTCAATTGCAAAATTATAATTTAATTGAGAAATTACTAGTTCAATTGCGAAATTATAATTTAATTGAGAAATTACTAGTCCTGTAGAGATTACTAGTTGTTGTTGTTGTTATTGTTTTTTAAAGTAGGAAATACAAAACGTCAACTGTGTCCTCACAGGGACTCGAACCATTGGCTTTCCAGTTGGCAGATGGGGGCACTAATCACATAACACTATGACACTATGGAAAGAGGGATGGGATAATTTCTTAATTTAGAGATAATATCTTAATTTAGATAAATTTAGAGATTAAAATAGCACTGTGTGTCGCTTAACTCTAGACACACTGATTAAACTCTTTGAGCATGTAACATATTCTAAATTTTAAAAATGTTGTCTTTAATGAAACCTTTAACAAGGAAACATTCCGCTAATTTTTATTTCAAGAGTTTATTATTCTACACATTGTATTTCTAGATTTTCACTCTCGCTTTAGTAGCCATCGAGAGGAAAGCGAAATCATAGGCTTTGCAAATTCATCGTTGGACTTCCATGTTAACGCCGCGCCTTTATTATTATTATTATTATTATTATTATTATTTATCGTCAGACAATAATATAAATTCTTCTCATCGGTTTTTGCACCTGTATTGAGTTATATTAGTGAAGAAAAACATAAGGTTCGTTTCAATTAATTACCTTTCCATGCATTATTATTATATTTCACTCCTAGATTATTAAAACTGCGCAATTTCAACTGATATGCTTCGTGTTGAAGTTTTGATTAATGGCCTAATT